AAAATCCCGGGGTGCTTTTTGTTTTTTTCCCCTCTTCTTCCTCATTTGGCGATGGGGAAACTGAGGTCGTGGGTGGGGGGTGGGGGGAGGGGGTGTGTGATGTGCCCCCCCACCCCCGCTCCCCGGAACATTCTGGAAGGCTGGGCGTCGTGGGGGTGCTGGGCGCACAGTCCTCCTCTAGGGTGCTGGGTGCTGAGTCCTCTCCTCGGTTCCTTCCCCCCCCACACACAGGTGACGGATGGGTGTGACCTTCGACCTTTGCCCCCCTCCCCACAGGGCTGGGCTGTGACCCCCCACCCCCTCCCTCAGGCCTGTGTGCATCGGAGTCTCCCGGACGGACGGACGGACGGACGGAGTGAGGGACAGACAGACAGAGGCATGAGAGACAGAGGGACAGACGGACGGGCCGAAGTTCAGGTGGAAGGACAGGGAGACGGACGGGACAAAGAAACAAAAGGACAGACAGAGGGACAGATGGACAGGGACAGATAGACAGACAGGGGGACAGACAGACACGGGGACAGACAGACAGACAGAGGGACAGACAGACAGAGGGACAGACAGACAGGGGGACAGACAGACAGAGGGACAGACAGACAGGGGGACAGACAGACAGACAGACAGAGGGATAGACAGATAGACAGAGGGACAGACAGACAGACAGACAGACAGGGGGACAGACAGACAGAGGGACAGACAGACAGACAGAGGGACAGACAGACAGACAGGGGGACAGACAGACAAGGGGACAGACAGACAGGGGGACAGACAGACAGACGGACAGACAGACAGAGGGACAGACATGACAGACAGACAGACGGACAGACAGACAGAGGGACAGACAGACAGACAGACAGAGGGACAGACAGACAGACAGAAGGACAGACAGACAGACAGACAGACAGACAGAGGGACAGAGAGACCGATGGAGGGACAGACAGACAGGGGGACAGACAGACAGACAGAAGGACAGACAGACAGAGGGACAGACAGACAGAAGGACAGACAGACAGAGGGACAGACAGACAGAGGGACAGACAGACAGACTGAGGGACAGACAGACAGACAGAGGGACAGACAGACAGACAGAGGGACAGACAGACAGAGGGACAGACAGAGACAGACAGACAGAGGGACAGACAGACAGGCAGAAGGACAGACAGACAGACAGACGGGGGACAGACAGACAGACAGAGGGACAGACAGACAGGGGGACAGACAGACACAGAGGGACAGACAGACAGACAGAGGGACAGACAGACAGACGGACAGACAGACAGAGGGACAGACAGACGGACAGACAGAGGGACAGACGGACAGACAGAAGGACAGACAGAGGGACAGACAGACAGACAGAAGGACAGACAGAGGGACAGACAGACAGAGGGACAGACAGACAGAGGGACAGACAGAGACAGACAGACCGACAGACGGGGGACAGACAGACAGAGGGACAGACAGACAGACAGAAGGACAGACAGACAGACAGACGGGGGACAGACAGACAGAGGGACAGACAGACAGACAGACGGGGGACAGACAGACAGAGGGACAGACAGACAGAAGGACAGACAGACAGACAGACGGGGGACAGACAGATAGAGGGACAGACAGACAGAAGGACAGACAGACAGACGGGGGACAGACAGACAGACGGGGGACAGACAGACAGAGGGACAGACAGACAGAAGGACAGACAGACGGGGGACAGACAGACAGAGGGACAGACAGACAGAAGGACAGACAGACAGACGGGGGACAGACAGACAGAGGGACAGACAGACAGAAGGACAGACAGACAGACAGACGGGGGACAGACAGACAGAGGGACAGACAGACAGACAGACAGACAGATGGACAGACAGACAGGGGGACAGCGGGGGCTGGTGTCTGGGACTCGATCGTGTTGGATGTCTTGTGATGTCACAGTCTGGTGACTCTGGCGACCTCTGACCTGCCCTGCCACCTGCTGGCCGCACCCCGAAATGCCGGGGGGGACACGGCCGTCCGTCCGTCCGTCCGTCCGTGTGTCCGTCTTTCTCAGGGTCCATGTGTGTCTGTCTGTCTGTCTGTCTGTCTGTCTCTCTTTCTTCATGTCTGTCTGTCTGTGTCTGTCTGTCTGTGTGTGTCTGTCTGTCTGTCCGTACCTCTGTGTGTCTGTCTCTGTGTCTGTCTGTCCCTCTGTCTGTCCGTCCGTCTTTTTCCCTGTCTGTCCGTCTGTTTATCTGTCTCTGTCTGTCTGTCCGTCCATCCGTCCCTCTGTCTGTCTCTCTGTCCATCTGTCTATCTTTCTCCCTGTCGGTCTGTCCATTTATCTGTCCATCTGTCTCTCCTTGTGTCTGTCTGTCTGTCTGTCTGTCCCTCTGTCTGTCTGTCCATCCATCTGTCCCTCTGTCTTTCTGTCTGTCCCTGTCTCTGTGTCTGTCCATCCATCCATCTTTCTGTCTGTCTGTCCCTCTATCTCATCCGTCTGTCTGTCTTTCTCCCTGTCTATCTGTCC